TTGTACTGTGTAACGTGGCATAATGGGCAAGGTACATTTCTATTAGGAGCGTGGATAATCTTATAACGATAGAAATCATCTCTACACACGAAATCTCAACAACGTAAATAAATTTGCCTCCTGTAACCGTTGGGATAACATCTGTCCTATAATTTCTCTGTGAGCATGAGGAGAATTAACTAAGGACCCTGTTCTATCTGTGATTTTTTTTGTAACGTCAAACGCACGGCTAAAAGCATATGAGAGTACTCTATTCGTTATTTATCCTCAGTTATAGCAGTACCTCTTTCTTAAACTGTGTATTATTGAAAATCTTCTTCAGTTCTCCTACGTTACCTTGGTTGACTCTTAACAATGATATTTTCCAGTGATGTCAATCTCTTACAAGGAAGAGGTAGAGGCATATCTGAGGAGAGAAGTATATGATTTTTCCGCAAAAAGAATATACATCCAATCCACCAAAAGCTTGGTCTGTACACTACAATACGAAATTAAAATAGAGCATAAAATGAAAGTTATTCACTGGATCTGTTAATAACAATTCTACCTTTTTGAACAAAATAACATGAAGGAGTTTGACCTGCCCTTCGGCTCTGGGAAAGGACGTTAGATTTTAAGAAGATCTTGTTAGCAAATCTATTCACTTTCTATTTAACCACACTGACCCTCAAGAGTGCATATATATATATATATATATGGAAAACAGTATTCATTGCTTTTTTGTTATTGTTTTGCTTTGTATTCTACAGTAGTGGGGTGTCTAGCAGAGAATGTAAACGTGGAAGGATGAGAAAAAATTAGTGCCTTGGTTTTCCATTGCCAGTTCAATCTTTGCATGGAGCACATGTAAGGTAATATGGTGAGAAGCTAAAAACCGTTACTTTACATTTCCTATTCTGCTGAAGTGAAATTATGTTGATTACCCCATATCTGAATGATTAGAGTCACTCAGCCTTCTTTAAAAAATAACACTCACCTTGGCCCCCACCCCCCAAAAAATAAGTTTTAACAACCATAATTATAACATGGATTCACTGACACCTCTGCCTGTCATCTAAATAAGTGTGACATCTAATGGTTGTATATTAAAATTATTTTCAGGACATCCTCAGGATATTCATTATGGGAGTAGGTGGAACTACATTAGGATTGATTTCTAAGTAGATATTACTAGATTTTCCTTTTTCTTTTCTTTTTTCTTTTTTTTTTTTCTATTTTTCTTTTTTTTTTTTTTTGCAGTTTAGAAAAAAAAATTTACAAAGAAAAGTTGTTGTAAAAGGTACTAAACCCTATTTTAAATGTTTGTCTTACATTTTCTCCAAGTCTTAGAAAAATAAGCCAATTCTATTTCCTATCTCTAACATTTACACTTACAATCACCTAATATAATGAACTTTGTCACATGCATTTATATGAAGCATAACTGGAAACAGGCAGTTATATCTAACCTCTGCCTTCTAGCTCCAGAGTCTGAGATTTTTCTGCTATCCAACATTTATTTTCATGAGGTTTTCAACTTTAAATAGTGTTTCTTTGGCACTCACAAAACTATCATACTAGATACTTTATCCGACAAATATTCTTGAGTAAGAAAGGAAACTAGCACCCACAGAGCACCAGCTGTTCTACTAAGTGTCTTACCTGCATTTTCTCATGTGATTCGCAAACAATGCTCAGTGTGTCTCAATCTCACTGTATTAGAGAAGAGAAAACTAAGAAGCAGAGAAGGCATGACTTGGTCAAAATCATCAGGTGGTAAGAAGAGGAGCCAGAATTCGAAGGAAGATCTTGTTAGCAAATCTATTCACTTTCTATTTAACCACACTGACCCTCAAGAGTGCATATATATATATATATATATGGAAAACAGTATTCATCAAAGGTTAATTGTCACTGTCATCATTATTATCATTGACATCACCATCGTCATCATAGAATTGATAAGATGATGGCAAATATAGATGACCAAAACCAGAGGACAGTGGTGAGCAACAAAAGAAGTCATGAAGCATGCCTAAATTCACTTTACAAGAATGTCATATAGTAATATGCATATGTAAATAAAATAAATCTTATCAGTTAGCAAAGATTGAAAATTGTGATAATCAATATTGGTAAGAGTAAGGTGACTTGGGCACTTTCATATACTTTCAATAGTAATTGATACATCCTTTTGGGAAAGCAATTTGGTAATTTCTATCAGAAACCTCCAAAAAAACCTAGATCCTTTGTCCCAGCAATACCATTTCTAGAGATCTATTCTATAGAAATAATCAACTCAAACATACATATATGTTTAAGCATGTTTACTTGTTAGCTGTAATATCAATATTTAGAAACATTCAAAAAGTACAACATTAAGAATATGATTTAATAAATTCCAACCGTTAGACATGAATAAAAGACTTCATTGGAAAATTCTCATAATGTAATTTTAAACTCATAAAGTAAATCATATAAATTGTATTTACAAGATGATCCCGAATTTTCAAAAAAGACAGTAAAAAATGTATCTGTGTCTAGAAAATGTTGATAGAATTCCAGAAAACATTGACCATGATTACTCTGAGGTTGTAAGATTACAGATTTTTTTACCAGCCTTCTTCTAGTCCTGTATTCTCTAAATATGATTATATATTTTTTTCTTAATTTGTGTATACTGTCATGACGCCACACCACATAACACACACCAACTTACTATATATATATATACTATATATATATATATATACTATTATACTATATAAATTCTCAGCCTCAAAGATCATCTTAAACGTATTCAACAAAAGTTGGTTTATAGAAAGGGCATTAATTCTAATGTAAAGTGTACATTAATATTCACAAGAATGAAGTATCTCAGAATTAATACAAATCAACTTTATTCTCTACTTGTAAGAATCCTTAAACATCTCTGATTCAAAGATCTATTAAACCTCCAACATAGTCCTAACTTTATTAAATTATCAGTTCTTTCAGGCAAGATATCTATCATCTTATAATTTGTGCAAATTTGTATTTGGGTTTGAATCCCAACACCCTGTACTAGATGTGTGACCAGAGCAAGTGACAAATCTTTCTAAGTCTCAGTTTTTATAATCTCTAAATGGAAATAATATGGAAACCAACTTCCTAGTGTCATTGTTTAGGTTGAGATTTAAGTGAAAAAAATGCATGAAGCATGTGACAAATAGCAAAAACTTATTGCATGTTATTATCTATTATTGCTTTATATTCCTTATTTTACCAGGAATGTAGGCAAGCAAAAATGATTTTTTGAAGATGCTAATGTAGAACTCAAATATAAATGGCAGGCATATTCAGGAGGTTGTGAGTGAGCTTAAGATTGAGGAAAACACAAGAGAAAACCAAAAAACATGAACTTCCCTTTACTTGACTTGACCCAGATGCACAGGGATGGGAGTGGAGTGGCTGAGAACACAGACAGATTTTCACTAAGACACCTCAAATGCTCCTTGGACTCTCACATGGAAGCATGTGGGTTGTCTAAATGTTAACACAATGTCTCTTCTTTCCTATTGCAGTATCCGTACCATCCTGATGTTTTGAAACAATACAGATGCTTTTCCTTGTAGCAGTTTTCAACCTCCTCTACCCTACATGATCTGGAGCAACAGCTGGGAAATCATTAATTCCTAGCAGAAATCATTAATTCTGCTCTTCAGAGATGTTAAAAATAAATTACATGTGGGAGCTTTCCAAAGAAATGGAAATTGATGTAAAATTATTTGTCAAGCAAATGTTTAAAATCCAAATGAGAACTAAATAAAGTGTTGAACATCAGCTGGGGAATTGAAGCCAATAAACCATCCTTCTTAATCATTCTACTGTGTCATCTTTGCCATTGAGGAAAAATATTTCCTGTGACTTCTTGCATTTTTGGTATCTTCATAATTTTCAGTCATTGAATCTGGTGGAGGGGAACCTTCACTTGCCCTGAACATACACCAGCTGGTCCACTGTGCTTGAAGTCTTCTAACTCTGTCTCAGTTTTCACTGTCTGCATTTTCCTTTTTTTAATAAAATGTACCAAATCCCTAGGCTAAAAACTAAAGTATGGACACTTTTATTTTTTTTTAATTTTTTTTACTTTTTATTATTATTGTACTTTAAGTTCTAGGGTACATGTGCATAACGTGCAGGTTTGTTACATATGTAGTACTTGTGCCATGGTTGCGTGTGCCTCACCGATCAACTCGTCAGCACCATAACTCGTCTTTTACATTCAGATATAACTCCCAGTGCAATCCTCTCCCCCTCCCTCCCCCCCTTCCCCATGATAGGCCCCCTGGGTGTTCCTTCCCGAGTCAAAGTGGATCCTCCATTTGTTCATTCCCAAGTGTTCGAAAAAAAAAAAAAACTTTTACTGATGATAAGAGAATAAAAAAAAATGTTCACTTTATGTTATAAAGAACATTGCTGTCTGCAAAAGAAGTAATTATCTCTTGAAATGGTGACTTATTGTCCTTGAGAAGACTGGGGCATAGTACTTCATAAGTGTGAGTGATAGAGTGGAACAGAGGCCGACCATAGTGGAGAATGCCATTCAAGTCTCGTGTTCTTTGTATACTACTTATGCTTAAGTTTCACTTGCAACAAATATAGTATCTGGAAATTTTTTTTTGTTAGTTCATCTGTAGAAGACTTCAAGTAGGTTTTCTAAGTTGATAAATGTTTTAGATCAGAACCAGAAATTTGCTTATACATTTTAGATACATTTACTGATTTTTAAAGTATTATGAATCTTCACCATCCTAGAAAGGGTAATACACACAGCACCATTTTGGCCACAACCTAAATGACTTCTATCTAAAAAAAGGATATAAACTGATCAAATGCTGCTTCTGTGGGGTGTGGTCTTCTTACTGACCTTTTATCATTCTGAATATAAAGTTTTACCATTTAAAAAAAAAAAAAAAAACTAAAGTATGGTAAAGAATAGTCTCAAATTTACAAGTGAAGAAGATCCAGAAGTTCTAAATCCAGGATTTTTCTTAGTAACTCAAAGAAAATGCCACACATTTTCATACAATGAAGGGAAGTGTTTTTATTGCTTTTATGCTATTTGTTTACAGTGAAGATACAACTGACTTTTAAAAATACAAGCAGATTTTGTGCTTCATGTGATGAACTTAGGTTTGGACACTAAATGTGAAAACTGAACTATTCCTAGAATAATGCTCAAAAAATCTGCAATTTTTCCTCATGAAAGTGCTTCATTAGCTAAACAGTCTTAGTTGATTATTCCAATGGGCTGAAAATGAAGTATAGAGTAATTTAAAGTATTATGGTGGCTTTATGTGTAGATATTGGGTGGCAAATGCTGTGAACACAGAGTGTAAAATTGGTAACTAAGAAATGGCAAAAACACCTAAAGCAATATGCTTTCCAAGTAGACATATACACACACACACAAATGTATATTTGTGCAAAATTGTTTTTAATCTAGAACGCTCCTATTAACTACCATGTCTTACATCAAGTCTACGATCCTAGAATTAGTTTAATATTTTGAATATGTAAAGGCCTGTAGTGCTAATTTGTTCATGCTTTTCCACTCTCAGGGAAAGATTTGCATTTTGAGCTTTATCTCTAAATGTGATGTGTAAATATTATTCCTGGTAAAGGAGTTACAGCTGTCTTCAAAAATGCTACTTGTTGCAGTACATACAATCTGTTTTATATTGTGGAAGACCTTAGACATAAAGTAAAATAGTCTATAATTTGCTGTGTGACCTTCAGTAAGTCACTCAGTCTCTCTGAGCTTGTGCATCCTTTGTTTTGAAAAAAGTACTCAACCAGCCCATTACATCTTTACTGAGGCTAAATGTGATGATATTAATGAAAGAGTTTTGCTAACTGGGAAGGGTCTCCTAAATGTAGAGAAAATATGACTGTTTTTTCAAAAATGCTGAAGGAGATACTCAGGGTCAAGACACTTTTCAGAATCTCCCTAAGATAATATCATGGGACACTACCTGGTGCTGGATGCTCTGTGGCTTTTACACTGATGCTGATGGTGTGAGATTCAGAAAAAGAAGAAGTAATTCTACATGCCCACCCCACAACAGGGTCATCAAATCTTGCCAGTGACACAGAGGCTGACATCTACCTCCCACCCTCCTTCCTCCCAGGCTAGGGGAGCAGGTAGAGTGGGGGGCATTAGGTGGGCACTGCCAGTGTTGTCATAGAGTGGCACAGTCCTCC